TTTTTTTTTTTCTATTTTCTTTCTCGTTGAAAAAGCATTTTACAAAATACTTCTTTCAAAGTAATTTACATTTACCTTTTCCCCGTTAGTAACCAAACCAGTCTATCACAATCATTCTTTACCGTTGCCCAGTCCCTTTAACAGTGTACCTATATTTGTTACAATCACAACATCAACCAACAGGTCCTCGTTACGCGAGAATCATTAATGCGCGACCACGTGACCGAAACACTTCATGTTTACCTCTTTTTATTTATATTATTTCTTGAGTCAAAAATCAATCTTCTTTGGCGGTTTACCAAGCAAATCTTTCAAACCAAATGACTTTGTATCAAATATCCTTTCATTGTTGGTCATAAGAGAAATCAGATTCCCACTACTGAATGGTCTGTTTAGTTTCTGTTTTGTATTGTGACAAGATGTGGAGCCCTTACGACAAGGACAAGTTCGTTGGAGCTGTTATTATCATCGTTGTTCTTGTTTCTTCACCACGGCAGACGAGAGGTAATGATCTTTACAACTTCTCACTGTCAATTGAGAGTGACTTTATTCGACAACAGAACGATTTCAAATTAGAAATAATAGATGAAATTTGGCAATACGAGTATATAAAAGAGAAGTCCTGTGATTGGCTAAGAAGACACTAGGAAGCCAATTAAGTGTTGTTATTGTCAGAGGTTTAACCTTTTCTTAGGCCCCCCGAGGGTTGTTCAAAAAATCCTGTTATAAAATCACTGGATTAAGAAGAACTACCCTGTCAACAATCTTACTACGTGAAAGTCAAATTGTTAACTCTCTGCAATGAGGAATAATGGACAACTTGAACATGGTAGTGATGAATTGTGGTTCTTTATTATACCAAGAAGCTAGGTTTTTTACCGAAGCTACTTTACGAATCTAGATCTCAGCGAGAAAAACGTGATAAACTTCAAAATGCAAATAAATGTAGTTTTTAATTTTCTATAATTCATTTCTCTTTATTTTCTCTATAGCCGCGCCAATCAAAGATCGCACGTCACGTGACCTAATGCAGATCATAAAGGATGCCGGGAAGGTATTCCAAAAAGCAGGAGAGACAGCGTTGCGAACCCTTCTCCCTAAAGTCATGAACTCTGGCCTAATACCTGGAATGAAGCCCAACTCCCAGAAGGCAACGCAACCTTACGGACCAAAGATACCGCTGAACACTCTCAACGAGTACTCAATTAGTCCTGTTATTCCAAATCAGAAGGTTACAGTCACGTGATAGTATGTTGAATTAATCACGTGACAAAAATTTGATTAAAGCTGTTTTATAGAAGTGGAAAACGATATAGGCCAAATTTAGTCACATGCCGAAGCCGTTGTATTGCTGGGTTTCACTAGACATCATTTCCTGTCTACTGGGGGAGGGGATGTTCATCAGCTGAATCACAAGTATTTCAATAGAATTCTTTCTGGTTGACAGCACATGGTGGTCAGTGTTTGACCACCATTTGGAGTAGATATTGATATTCAAAAACTTTTATCAGCTGAGTGAAACCCAGCAATAGACCCCTTGCACTGAGTCCCTAGAGGAATTGTTCTGGGGAACAGAACAATGGATTATTTTTGCATAAAAACTGAAAGACGCCCATTGTATGTTTTGTTCCCAGAACAATTCCTCTAGGAATTCAATGCAAGAGGTCTATACCATATACGTACTGTAATACAGTACAGTATGTTTCCAATTCATACAAAAATCGCTCCATAACAGAAAAAAAGGAAAATTAAAAGGAACAAATGTTATAGAAAATAGATAAGTGTTTGTATTATTTCAAAATATTTTAATAAATTTTGATTGTTGTAAAATCTTGCCATGTTTCCACGGTGTCTTTGTAATGTTGTTTCTAAGGCCCATATACCGCTCCCCTGGGAACACCATAGCCATAGCAGTAGGACCACCCTACCCTAATTGAAACAGGTTCTTATGAACGGGTTCTCCGCGAAAGACAACGTAAATTTTCATTCTTTCTACGTCTATGGCATATATATAAGGGACTAGAATTTTTGACATTTGGAAATGAAAGGAAGATTGATGTACCACCACAATGTGTAGGGCCAAAGATGAAAATATGGAAATGTTTCCGCGTCGCAAATTTTGTGAATGCGTTCGACACATGTTTCTATCTTTTTTGTTTTGTTTTGTTTTTGCATCTGTCAAACAAGAATTGTCTGGAGTGATAAAATACTTTCGTCTGGACTAGAAGAAGGAAGGGTGATTTTCCGATTGTTGACTCGAACTTAACACTGTCGCTTTCGGTGGCGAATTTTCTCACAACATAATATCGATTTGTCGAATTATTTTCGTTTTCTTTCGAGATAACAGGGAATATTATCCGTTCGAATGAACAACAAGAAATATACAAGCTTGTTTGTTGAATTACCTCAACTCACTGGTACACGCTGTAATCAAATTAACCTCGAACCCAAAACACGTTTGTTCTTCTTTTATGTGATTAAAATTAATTTACAAAAGGCTTAAAATATAATTGACAATATTTTTGAACCTCGGATTTTAAACTTTCCTTTTGAGCCTGTGGTAGTTTTGGTCAGCAACGTTTCTGAAAATGGCGTAAAGAATTCCTTAAAGATTTTTTTTTTGACAGACGATTTACGAAGTGTTTTGGACGGCAGGTATAGTTGGTTGATCTTCCAAGTTGTGACTTTTCTCGTAACGGGTCATTGACTTGTACAAATATAAATAATCGCTGACCGACTTTTGTAGAATTTTTTCCCGCGCTCTGATTGGTCGATGACGATCGATGATCTTATCGCCAAACTTCCCTGTTTCGTCGGGTCGAAGAAAATTCCAATATGGCGTAACATCACAGAAAAAAAACACTAAAATTTACCACAAAATCTAGCATTTTTCTTGAGATATTTCTACCAAGAGACTTTAGAATCGTAGAAGACATGTTGTACTTTTAAGGGAGTCTTTTACAGGTAAGATTTTGTTCTTTAAGTGTGTTTTACGAGGTCAATGAACCGATTGCCCCAGGAGTGTCCTACCTTGTGAAGCGATTCACACGGTAGAGAAAAGTTCATTGATTTTGTAAAATTTCCATTTATTTTTCTATTCAAGCGAAAAAGGGCTCTCTGTTTTATTTGTCTTCGTTCATTTTCAAGTCAAAAGCCTCCGATACGGATATCATAGAGGAATGTCCGGTAGAGTCCGTTCACCGTCAAAAACATTACGAGGATACATCGTGTGTGTGGTCCACCGGGCGAAAAGCACAGTCAGTCGTTCGGCAGTCATTCGTTGAAGAAATAGAAAAAGAGTCTTTGTTACATGGATCCTTAATATGGATTTTATAAAAAAATTAGCAGAAGTTAACAGTATCGCATTTACTCAGTGCCAAGGTACCGACAAATTCCGTCGAAGTAATACAAATGCATGGTTAACTCAAACGTCTTGGTCCTTTTTAGCGAGGTTTATTCTAACGCTAAAAATCAAGAAAAAGTTTATGCTACTGTCTGAGCTTTTTGCTTTATTTATTTAWTTTTTTTTTCAATTTGATGAACTATCCCTACGGTCGAAGAAGAAGTGATTGTGATAACAAACATGGCGGATGTAGGTTTCCGTGTGACATTCTTTCTTTCTGTCATAATTCCAATGTATACTTTTTCAAGGTATTGAAGCAAAACGATCCGTGTTATGAGCAAATCAAAACTGACTCACACAACAAAACGACCGATGAAATCATATAGAAAACGTTCACACCGCTTTGTCGAGGGAAACGGAGAGATAAGATGGTGATTTTTGCGACCTTTACTGACCGATTACGAAAATGAGATCAGAGTAGTACATGAAAATGTCATTTTGAAGATGAAATGTTCAGGTCTTTTGGAGAATAAACTAAAGAAGCAGGTATGGAACCGCTAAATATTGAAACTATTACATCAAATACACTTTGCTTCAGTCGTTTATGGTTTTATATTCTTGCTTCCTGAATATTATTAACATTTGTTTCCTAAAAAATGACTCATCCCATTAACTGATAACATGTCCCTACACTGACGATCTGTTTTAGATATGCCAAATCTTATTAAATAAACTCTTATGAAAATCCTTAGAACTTGAAAAACATTGTTTAATTTTGCTGTCATAATTTCATGTCAAACTCTGGACAACTAGTTTTCATCGAGAATAGCGTAATTTTTAGTGTATTATAAACAAGGCGAATGTAGTGTTTGGGAGACTGACTATAAAATTTCACAAGGAAGCGAATGATTTTCGTAGGGTTGGAAACTACCGCATCAAAAAATTAGCGATGATTTCATTTTAGAAAACAAAACCCAATTGGTCCATCCTTTTGAATTCAATCTTGCCCCAATTAACACACTACATCACCATCCCTTGAGTATTGTTTACCTCGGCTTAAATTGCATGGTCAATGTTGTCCAACTTTAGACCTGATGACTAAAAAGACCCATCTATTGTTGCATGTTATATGAAGTTTTCGCTTGCGCGCCCATTTTGGCGCCAAAATATTCTAGCACTGCTCGCTGTCCTTCAATACACAAAACTTCACATAAACATGTACATCCTAGTTGCTCAATTGTCCAAACAATTTCTTTTTTATTCGCAGGAGTACAGATGATCTCGATAGCGCCTGTTAGGACGCTGTTCTTGGTCGTGTCATTCATTCTGGTCAATCACTCAAGCCAACAAGGTTAGATAAATCGTCCTTGATTTACGAGGGTAGCACTTAATAGCCAGTGGCTAACAAGCCCACATGAACAAACCTGTGGCCCTCGTTCCATGATTGAATTAAAATCTAGATGTTACCGCGTTAGGTTGATTTTTGCGTAGGGAGGAAAAGCGGAGAACCCGGAGAAAAACCCTTGAAGCCGCACAGGAGAGAACCAACAAACAACTCTACTCATGATGGTAGTTCAGAGGATTGAGCACATGACCCAAGTGGTTATAAGAGGCTGCGCATTAGAAGTGTGCACTATGCCACCCGTGGATTTGGCTTTTAATTGTTTTCCATTAAAATTATACTTGATCTCCTTTGGAAATTTTTTCACTAAAACCGTATTTTGTTTTCTAAGAATTTTTCGAAGATGCTGTGAAACGAGAGACTCTTACACCAGAATTAGACACGAGTCTTCTATCCAACATTGACGAGGATGATACAGAAGAGCCTTATTTGGAGTATAACGGCCCACCGAATACCTCTGCAAGAGACGAAGAACCAGAACCTGTAGAAGAGCAAGAGCAAGAAGACGAGGATGCAGGGAGACGAGCAGGTAAGCAAGTCATCAGTTCATGAAGTTATTAGCTTCAATAGATCTTAGGGATTCAAAACACTCTGTTGAAATAGACGGTCACCTCTCATTAGGCTCGTATCAGTTTTATTAATCTATAGTAAAAATATTTTCACAGAAAATTCAATAGATGGAAATGTAGACCGAATGTTTTCGCAAGAGGCTCCTGCGTTTAATGAAGAAGACGAAGACGTCGATGAAGAAGATGGCAAAGCTCCCTATAACGATGAAGAGAGGGAGATTGATGAAAATGCAAAGAAACGATCAGAGTTAGTAAAGTTTGAAAAAAATGCCGACACTTCAAAGAAACCCAAGAAACTCGAATCAATTCATAAAAATCATAAAGTAAAAACCTCGCGCGACGAAGAAAAGGCGAGAAAAAGGTCAACAGTTGAAAAAAAGAACACTAAAAAAGTGGAAGCAAAAGACTCCGTGAATAAAGTTGAGGAATCCAAGAGTAAAGAGGAAAAAGATAGCTCTGTTTCTGGGTCGAGTTCAGGGGAAGGAAGTGTTGGGAGTGGAAACGAGGCTAGTGGGGACGAAGAGTCTTCTGGAGCCGAGAGAGAAAGACGACAAGCTTTCCAAACAGGTAAAATAAAACACTGCGTACATGTCATGTTTGTGTTATTACCCCGTGTGTGCATGTGGTAACATGAACGCGATGTTGGTTGACTGTAAAAAAATATTTTGTCTTGCTTTCTTTTGTTATGTCAACCAACATGGCAGCCATCTTGTCCTCTTACTTTCATGGCAACGGACGCGCGCCAAGTATACGATGCTTTACTGTGATTGGGTGGCCTTTAATTTTCTAGTATTTTTATTGGTCCAGAATGCAAGCCATTTGTCACAGGATCATACGTTTCCAATCTCGTTTTCCAATCTCTTACTGCGCATGCTCGTCGAAAAAATGATCATGCGCATTAGTAAGAGAAAAAAATGGCTATGGGAAGAAGCATGGTCCAATTCCTTCTATACAAAACTTGTATCAAATAAAGCCAAACATTTATTTTTACCCTTAATTTCAGAGGACCAAGTTATGAAAGCTAAAGAGAAGCTAAAAAATGCTCAAGAAGCTTCTGAAGCCCTGACAAGCATAGAAAAGGAGATGGGTCTAGACCCCTCAGTTGCTCCTGATAAAACAAAAAATCTGACCTCGGCACTTCACAGCGAAATGCAAAAATTCAAAGACATCATTTCGTCACAAAATGATGAAGTCAAAAAATCCAAGTTTCAAAAACTCGAGAAACTCGCTGAAGAGGATGTCAAAGGAGCGAACGATGTAATGAAACTCATCGTTGAGCTGGAGGTTGCTAAATTCTTTGCTAAGAATCGTGCTCGCAAGAAGCTTGAACTTGCTTTGAGGAATAAGATTACTACCCCTCCGTCACCTCCCGAACCTGCTGCTCCTGTAGTACCCTGGTTTGGTGGTATGGGACAGTATCAGAATCAAGCAGGAATGGCAGACTTTATGCCTAAAGAACAGAGTTTTAATGCTCCAAATCCGTACGCTTCTTATGCGGACGAACCACAACAACCGGCTCAGCAAGCTCCAGCAATGTCTTTCCCCTCTGCTCCTCAGGCCGCTTTCCAACCTTTTTCAATGCCACCAGCTTCCTTCCAGCCAGCCCCGCTTCCATCGGGACCGTATCAGGCGTTCAACACACCTGCAGTACAAAATCCTCTTCAGAGTCAATACCAGGATAGTACTTTACCACCACCAAGATGGGGTCCACAGGTTGCATCTTTTGCACYAGTACCACAGACACCCCAGGAATATAATCCATATGTGGCAAACCCAATGAGTTTTGCTCCAGCTAATGGTATGTCCCAACCAAATCCTCAACCACAGCGACAGCCAAGTTTGATTAATAATCCTCCAATGAATAAACCTGCTCATAAAATAGTGAAGGTTGCTCCAAAGCACAAGATTACTGAGAAGAAACCTCAGAAACCAGCTCAACGCCAAGATAATAGACCCCACATACAGTCTCCTCAGCCACAGAATCAGCAGGCGAAGTATTTGCCACAGTCGTCTCCATTCAGTGATCTTCAACCTCTGCAATCTCTCAGTTCAGTCCAGCAGCAACTACCAAGCTATAGCAACGAAATGCAGTTGCAGAAGGCGCCATTTTCGTCGTACACTCAAACTCCTTTTGCAGCGTCTTCCTCCCACCCGTACTCTGACGCGTTCGCTCCTCCTCCACCACAGCCCAACACCCAAACGTTCTACCCACAGTCCTCCTGGACATCCCCACCTCCACAGGTTAATCGATTCTCTGATAGTTTGTCTCATCTGAATCCGCATTACCAAAAAGCAGCGGCAACATTCAAGCCTGTTAGTTCAAAGCCTCCTGTAAAAGCAGGGCAGCGTCCTCATCCTCCGGATCTTGCAAAAATGTTGAAAGATTTGGCCCGGTATCATTCTCGTCCAATCACAGCGCACCATTTCAGACCCGTGCCTCCAGTTCAAGTTCCAGAGCCTCAGCAGCTACACGAGCCCAGTCCTCCAGCACTAAAGACTCCACCAATGTATTCTCAGTTTGATTTCCCAGGGCAACCTGAGCCCGCAATACCAGTACAGCAGCCTGCCACTCAGTTCGCACCACCGAACCAACAATACTACCAACCTCAAGTCCCTCAAATGCCCTTTGTGAGCCCACAGCTTCCTATGCCAGCACCATTACCCATTCAATATCATGATCCAGCAATGCAGTACTCTAACGAGCAGAAGAACAATGACGCGGACGAAGATGAAGATGAAGATGTCAATCCAATGGATCAACAATTTAACGATAACCCAAATCCACAACAACCAGGCCTGCAGTACCAAGGTCAAGCGGTATACCCCCAACAACAACAGCCAATGCCACAAGCGTACAACGGGTACAACTCATGGACAAACCCTGGAATAAACGGGAATATGGATAGTTTATCTTGGCCACAGAACCCCAATCCTCAAGCATATGGATATCAGCCTGAAACAAATTATGAACAAGTTGGTAAGTATCTTGAATTCGATGGATGAAAGACTACTATGTAGAAATAGTCGCTTTGCACCATCACGAGCCGGCGCCCATAATACAGCTTGGGCTGCCTGTGGTTAGACGGAGCAATAAAATCCCTCTTGCTCTCGGGAATTGAATTCTTTCACATGTAAAACGATTGTATTGTTCCTGCTATCAAACATGGCTGCCGTCACGTGGTGGTACAAAACCTCTTTTAACCATACTTAAATTCTTTTTTTTGTAAGTTTCTTGTTGGGATATTCCTACCTTGGAGGCGTCGTGTTCATGGGGCGGCGTTTCGACGTTGCTGAAGTATATTATTTACGTTCAGCTGCGTCGTCCGCGTGAGCGTGGTGTCGCTGAGCTTCACAGTTAAATTTATATATAGTTCATTTTAATCTTCATGTAATGTTTTATCATACTTTAGAAAACTCATTAATAATTCATGAAGAAAACACAATAGAAATCATGACCATGAAGGTGATTTTATATCTGATAAAGATTCGTCTTCATTTGCATAAACTTTAACTTGGATTTTCTCTATCAAACTTGGTT